GGAAATTGTTTTAGAAAACGATGAGTGAATGAATGAGTGGTTACTGTCAGTCCTTATTTCTATATAGATGACCACCAAAACTTCCTATAGCTGTACTTGTTTGTCCTTCCTGCTATGTGAAACATTGAAGTGAAAACAAAACAATAGGAAAACAACAATAAAAAAGCACGCTGATCTCTGTCTCAAACCAGCTGCCCTGCTGACCAATGTGTTTCTCTGTTTTGGCCTCGCCAGGGGTGGGAACCTTGGAGTTGCCTGATTCCGCTCTCCCTGTGGTCTCTCCAGTGGGCCATTAGGCACCTGCTGCTCCCCATGGCCACTCCCCTCAACGCCTCTCGTGAATGGTGGCCACTGTCTCCTACTCGCTCACCCTGCCTCGCCTCTCTTGCATACTATAGTTTATACTCCTTGCTCAATTAGTTTCCTCAGAGCACAGCCCCGGACAGGCGACTCTTCTCTTCCTGTCATGACCGTCAGTGACTCCCATTAGCCTATAAAGTCCAAGTCCTCCGCGCATTCAGGCTGGGCCCTCAGCCTTCTCTACCCAGCCTCCTCTCAGTTCTTCCCATATCTAGTGTGGTGGTCAAGCGAATGCCTTGCTTGCTCTTGGCTAGCGTGTGCTCTTCTGTCTCCGTCGTGTTATTAGAGTATAACATTTATACAGAAAACGGCGTACACCATAAACGTGCGACGACATGAATTGTCACAAAGTGAAGACATCATGTCCCCAGCTCCTGCACAGGAAGGTGAAGTAAGGGCCAGCATGAAGCAGGGCCTCAGACGGCTGGCCCTTCTTTGAAAAGAAATCTAGGAAACTCTGTAGGTTAGAGGACAAGGAAGCCTGCTATCTGCTCAGGGCTCAGGTGAGGGAAGGGAAGCTTCCTGGGAAGAACCAACTCCCCCAGTTTGAATGTACACACCTGCGAGGAGCAGGACCACGGAGCCAAGAAATTAACACACCCCAGCCAAGACTGGTGACATTCCTGGATCTTGGCAGAGGCTCCCAGAAAGGCTCTGTAAGGACCCTTCCACCACCCAGGGAGCAGGAACACCAGGAAAAAAACATGCTTGCACAGTATGCGCTATAAAAAAAAAAAATCACACCCCTAGGAAAAAATGAACTCCTTTGGTCACCTGGCATGTGTCTTCACACTGGAGCGGGAGCGCCTGGTCATTCACACCACAGATAAACTGAGCCTCCTGAAATGTAAGCACAGGTCACTAGAGGGATATCACCCAGTGAGACAGTCTTTCTTCACCTACAAAGTCCTGCAGCCATCGGCTGACATTTCTTCCCACAGTACCTACAACACTCTGCTCGAGACAGGTCTCCTTGCTGTTCCTCCAAAGCCTTGCTATGGTTGAATTGTGTGCCCCCCAAAGATATGTTGAAATCCTCACCTGTGGTCCTTGTAAACGTGACCTTAATGGAAATAGGGCCATTGCAGATGTAATCGAGTTAAGATGAGGTCAGTAGTGTGGACTTTTAATCCACTATGACTGGTGTCCTTATAAGAGGGGGAAATGATCGTATGAAGACAGTCACATAGGGAGAGCGCCATGTGACGATGAAGGTGGAGATGAGCGATGCAGCTGCAAGCCAAGGAACCCCAAAGAGAAGCGAGGAAGAGACAGGGAAGGATTCTTGCCTACAGAGTTCACAGGGAGCATGGCCTTCTGGACACCTTGATTTGGGACTCCTAGCCTTCAGAACCAGAAGACGATAAATTTCTGTTGTTTTAAGCCACCTGGTTTGCAGTATGTTGTCCCAGCAGCCTTAGGAAACTAATACAAGCCTCAAATGTGTTCCAGTACTTTCTGCTCCAGACTGTTCTGCTCGCAAAGCCCTTCTGCAGACAGCCTCCCTCGCTACCCCCTGGGTCCCTGCTCAAATGCCAGCTTTGCAGAGGCCATGTCCAAAGGCACCACCAAAACTAGCAGTTCCTGCCTCGCCTCCTTCCTTTGCCTCTTTTCTTGTTCTTCGTGGTCCCTAGCCATACCTGACACTATACTGTATATCTTTTGTTTACTGTCTGCCTTGCCTTCTAGAATTAAGTGCCTTGAATGTAGAGATGTTCCAATTCATGGCCATGTGCCCAGTGCCCACCACGTACTTGACATGGGGAGGCTCTCTATACATACTGTATTTGTTTCATAAATCAATGAACTAGTTGAGAGTCCGATTTACATTTTACTTTAGCCTTCATGTTGCTTTGCTCATAGTAGACGCTCAGTAAATATCAATATACGCAGATGGACCAATAAGTGCATCAGCACGAGTGGGTTTAAGGCTCTGTGGGGTTAAGAGGGGAAGTCAAATACACGTCATATTGGCCTGGGTTTGGTGGCCTCTTTGCTGTGAAACAATTGTGGGGACAATCGATCAGATTTCTCTGAGTAATCATTTGCTTGCCTCGCACAGCCACTGTTTCTCGTGCACTGACCCCCACCCCCACTTGCCCTGTTGTTTTTTCTGATTAAGGAAACAGAACTGAGTAATCTAAATTTAGTTCGCATGGCTCAGAGGTGCCAATCATGGCAAATAATGAATTAGGCAATCCTCCCTTCCCTGAAGCATTGAGCTGAAACCAACAAATTCATTTTGTTTAGGACCACAGGCTGAAGTTGGAGTGCTGTCTGTGACAGGAGAGGGCTTTCTTCACTAATTAAGTCACCCAGGCTCAGACAAACCCTCTCCTGCAAGGTGGGGGGTGCCGTTTATCTGAGTCAGCCCAGACACTGTGCCTTTGGCCTTCTGTTTGTTAAAGGAAGCAGTATATAATTTTGTTATACATACGTATATGTGAGCCAGAAAAGTGCATTCATATTATATAAATATATACATAAAAATGCATTCATACAAATAAAAATGCATTTGTATATGTATGTAAACCTCATATAGTTTTATAAATTTCCTTGGCCTTTCAAGGGCCTTTCTGGTTTGCTTAGTAAACCCACATTTAGAATTCAAAGTTTCTGGGTTATGGGCTGTTTTCTAAACAGTTTTGAAAAGGACTAATCTAAAGCACATCTTATCTGCTTTCATTTCATAGGAGCATAAAAATTCACACATTGGAAAGCTGTTACATTTGATGTTTGTCAGAAATAAGCTGTGGATTAGAAATAACAATTTTTATGATACTCTGTTGGGGAAAAATAATGAGGTTCTGTTTCCATTTATAACCTCTTAGTCTTATATGTACACCATGAGGTTTTAAACACGAGGAATGTTGACTGAGTTTTTTAAAAGTCAGTAAAAATCAAAACACAGGCTATGAGTTAAATGTACAAAATGGTGCTAATTCATTTTTTAAAATATTGTTGATACATTTATAAAGCATGTTTTGCTAGCTCCTTTCTCCTTCCTGGTCAGATACAAATTTAACCCCTCCCAACTGCTGATGATGTGAGATCTGGCACCTTCATGCCTCGTCACTAATCATCAGCCTTAGTCTGGGAGGGGCCAGAAGACCCCTGTTATCTCCACCTAGCAGGGGGGACACAGCATCCAGCTGCGGGGATGACTTATCTGGAGCTCCCAGAGGTGACTGAGAAGAGCCCATGTAGATTCGACATCTGACACCCTTGGCTTTTTTCTAGTTCTCTGGCCTGGTCTACACTTTTTCCAGCACAGTATTTCAAAATGTAGAGTCCTTTGGTATAATTTATTGAAAAGAAATAGATTTAGGCTTTAGGTAGAGAAGTATATCATCTATGAAGATCATTTCTTTAAAGGGCAAATGAAATGGGTATTATTTTCGTTAGGAGGGTAGAAAGCAAAATATGTAGGAAAGCAGTTCGATACGTGGAGCAAGTGTCACTGTCCGTTTCTCAGGGACCATCTCCTGCTTGGATTTGAAGGTCATGTAGGTAATATTAAGGGCAACCCTTTTGATTTGACATTTTACATTGGGCTTATAGCCCTAAGGAGGACTAACATTGACGATAAACTAAATTAATCAAGAGCATGTGTTTTAGCTACAGGAAACTGGTTTTCAACCCAACCTAGACTTCATCTTGCAGGAATGCTCCACATGACTTGCCCTCCTTACTGTACTTTCTTCAGGCCATTGCCCAAATGTCAGTGAGGAGTTCTCTGACTCATCTATTTCAAATTACATTAGCCCCCCCCCCCATCTCCCTGTGGTGCTTCATTCTTCTTTCTAATGCTCATCGTCACCCAAACTAGTACATATCGTGATTGTTTTCTGTCTCTCCCCTAAGCCTCCTGTAAGGCCCTTGTCTACTCTGTTCACTGCTGTTTTCCCAGTGCACACAGTAGGTGCTCAGTAATTGTTCAATGAATGAATGATGCCTGAGACCTTTCTGGTCAAAGGGGTGATCTTGTTCTCCATGATGCACTGAACATCTGGGCAGGGTCGGCGGATGGACATGTGGGAATGTAGGATTGGCTAGAAAGGAGGGAGGTGCCTGTTCCCTGTGTGGGATTGGAGCCAGGAGCTTACCTGGTGAAGGTGCGCAGACCTGATTCTAACAAACCTCACCATTCCCTTTAAGAAATGCATTCACCAGACTGGCCTTCACTTTCCCTAACGCTCTTACGTTAGCAGTGTAATGTTTGCTTTCTGTCCCACCTGTCAAACTCTGCTACATAGAGATACTACGATGACACTGAATAATGTCATGAGTGTCCTTTGCTATTCCGAAAACAAAGCAAAACAAAACAAAAACAGAGTCGGCACAGTTGTGTGTAATTAGGCAAGCAAACTGGAGAACTGAAGCAAAGCATCCTTCTATCTAAGTAACAGTGATGAACATGTACAGAAAGTCCTTTGCTGAGCTGTGGCTGGTGTTCCCGCCTTGGTCAGGTTGTCACATGCAATCAGGGCATTCCTCCAGGGCGACCCGGGGTCTAGCACGGCTTTCGTGGTGGTGGCTGGGTGGAGGCCACTAGCGTAGTCTGGAGCCCGTTCTTAAACTTGGGGCCGCGCTGGGCCTGGGCCGGTCCCTGCGAGAGGCGTGTCCTCGCCTGGCCCCGCCCCCGAGGCCCTGCCCCTGCCGGGCAGCGAATGAGGGGGCGCCGAGAGCGACCGCGAGTGAGATAAGGGTTCCGGGGGTGCGGGTGGGGGTGCCCCGCGGCTGGGCGCTGCTGGGACCAGCGGCTGAGCGTGTCGCTACGGGCGGAATCCGGGTTCCCGGCCGCGGCTGCCCCGAGACTGCTTCCAGTCGGCACAAACATGGCTGCGGCCCTGCGAGCGGCGGGCGCCCTGCTCCGCGGTCCAAGTAAGTGAGGTCGTCGCGGCAGCCGCTGACACCGAGGTCCCTGCCTGCGGGTTTCCGGGAGCCGCGGCCGACGGCGCAGGAAGCTGCGCGGGGTGGGGAGAGGGGCGGAGAAGGGGCTGGAAAGGGACCCTCCCTCGGGAGGGTCGAGAGGGTTGCGTGGGTCACCGAGGGGCCTGGGGTGCCGCGGGGCAGTGGGTCTGGAGTCCCCCCGGTCCCCTGGGGGGGTGTGTGTCCGCAACGGCAGGGTTTCTCAGGGCTTTTAGTCCTTATTTGTAAAATTAGAATAATGATAGCCTGGGCTTGTTGTGAGGATTAAGGGAGAGACGTCGTGCTAAGGACCTGCCACGGGGAGCCGTGTAATGAAGGCGTCGTCCAGCAGAGCTCGACAGTGTCAGGAGGCTCGGGCTAGAAATAAATGACAACGACTTAGTGAGGGGCCTTAAAAAGGGTTTGCAGAGGGGAAACATCTCGGCCCTACCCAGAGTGCTCCGAAGGAGAAAGAGCAGTTTGAGAGTTTCATAGTAACAAAAGTACACCTTTGAAAAAGAAAAGTTAGTCCTGCATTCTTAGCCTGCGGACTGGCTCAAGGTGGTAATCTTCCAGATGTCCAGTGGTCTGAGTAATGGAACGTTTTCTTCTTGAGGCCATTCAGATGGTGAACGGAAGCTTTGATGTGTGTACAGGTATTGATCGATACAAAACGGACTGAAGTGCATCCAGGTATTGACTGCAGGACTGGAACGTCAGAAATTTTAAGTTCCCAGGCTACTTAAGGCAAGGACAAAATTGTTTCCTTAGGCCTCAGCCTACTTTCTTTTAATACCGTATTTCCCCAAGTATAAGATGCACCTTAATTTGGGGGCCTGAAATTTGAAAAAATGTATTACATAAAGTTATTGAACTCAAGTTTTATTCATCATAAAATTCATACAACTCCTCGTCACTGTCAAAACTCCCAGCCATTAGCTTGTCCTCATCTGTGTCTGTTCACGGAATCACTGTCTTCATATATTGCCTCTCATGGCCTTCTTCAGCCATGGCGTTTTCAGTAGGGTTTCTTCTTTCCGTAGCCAGTCTCATTGTTTTCTCAGCTGGAGGAGGACCAAACTTACGTTCAGCAGCACGATTTCCATTCACTTTTGCAAACTGGATCACTTTTAACTTGAATTCAGCACTGTACGAGAATCTTTTCTGAGCCATTTCTGGGCAGAATGTGGCAAAACGTAACCTACTGTAATATACCGGTAACAAGTGCGAAACAATGAGCGCAAAGACAACAAATGCGAAAAAGCAAG